CACGGACCGTGTCCATAGTGTCATTGTGTCGCCTGCCAATGACGTCATAGCCCCTCGATTTCCGGCAAAAACATGGAAAACATGGAAACACCAAAGACGCTTTAATATGTTGTGCGTTTTAATAGACCGGTGACAACCGCACAGAGTAGCATTATAACAGAACTTTCAAATGTATCTAGTATGATAAAACAGCGCTGCTTTTTTCCCCCACATACGCACGACCGGAAGGAGCGGAAGCGGTCGACTGTGGCATAATAAAAGCTCCGCTGCTTTCGAGCCGTGTGTCACGCTCGTTCAGCGGCCTCATTTCGCTTCGACGGCTTTCAGCCTCACCCTGCTTCATTCTAAAACACCATTAATAAATCATTAGCTCATCCATGAACATGATTTCTGCCCGAGTCCCGTCGGATTGCATCGGCTGTGGGGATGAAGACCACAACTCCCATGATTCCACACTCAGTCACAGCGTCAGCAAACTAGGCCTTTGTCTATTTGTTTGTTTTGAATACGCGCCCTCTAGCGGCGAAAATTACATATTGTGCCTTTAAGTAGACACTACAGTTATGGACTACCCAGATAGCTACATCAAGGAGGTGTCTATTTGACGTTTGCATTTACATCTGCAAGACGTATTTTTTAGAGTGTTTGCTCATCTGCAATACGTCTATAGAACGCTTTATATTAGATGTCAAACAGACTTGAAGAAACTGTCTTTAAGATGTTTATGATTTAGAATGTAAAACTGACATAAGAGTCTATCAGATGTTTGTACACAGGAGGTGCTTTCCAGATGAAGCGACTTGCAGACTGTGCTATCTGGGTACAGATCATACGAAAATTAGCCATGTTTTACAATAAATAAAACAAACAAACAAAAAAAAACATAGTTTTGCTACACTAACCATAGTTTAACCATGGTATTTTTAGTACAACTGTGGTAATCCGCCAACAAAGCGTTACTCTTTTACTATAATAAAAATATAATAAAAATGTTCGCAAGGGATATCCAGGAATGGTAGATCTAAATATCTAAAACTGAGAGTTACTGTAGGAAACTAACAACCAAAGCCAAAAATAGACCCAAACAACATCACCATAGTTAATTCAAAAGTTATTTTCTGGAATCAGTGGGCATTAACATCGATTCCTGCTGTATTAGTCTCTCTCGCTCTCTAAAGTGCAAATAATGCTTTTCTTGTTCATTTTTCTGCATCTGAGCTAAATGGATGGCACTTATTGAACTGCTCCAATTAGGTGTGACAGGAGGTGAGTTTTTGGGATGTGTGCCGCTGCTGATGTCAGAGAGGAGGGAGGGATCGCCCCCATAGCGCGCAGCATGAACGCTCTGCTGCAAAAGGATGTGTGAACAAGCAGCGCGCTACTGCAGGGACGGCGTCCACAAACTGCTCCACAAAGAACAAGCCAAACTCCGGGCACAGGACAGCAAAGACCAGCCCAATCCCGGGGCTCAGGACAGCGAGACAGCGACGGCTGCACAGTCCGGAAACAGCGGCACTCAGCCCGGTGGAATAGACGGGCTCGTCCGCTGGATAGTCACCAAGATGAGCGACAATAAAAGCATCTCTACTCGGGAATATGTGAAGGAGGAGGCGGCGGTGGCTCAGGAGCAGTTCTTTGCACCGGAGCCCCGAAAGGGCATTTCTGTCATTTTGGATGTAGGTGTTTGATATTTTATTATTTTATGTATAAAGAAATATGAAATGCATGCACTCGTTTACAAACTTTATTCAATTGCCTTAAACAACCTCAGAAGATTGTTGAGTAATCCCATAATTAGACAAAGAATATCACTTAGATAACTCACCAACATTTGACACTCAATGAATTACAGCAATTATACATTTTTACATCGACCTACTTAACTTTTTATCCAATCCAACCATTTTGCATAATTTCACACTTAACTATCATTCCTGTGTAATATAGCCTACTTTATTACACGGTTCTCTGGAGTACTTAATTCTGATGGGCTAATCGTGAGCAATCAATTTTTGTGTAATAACCTAAATTATATATTTCGCCGTTGCCGTTGGCAACATACCGGCGTTTCTCTCGCGTATCATTCCGCGCACTGGCTCTTTACATATCGATTCTTGGCGCCACCGTGCGACTCGAAAGGCTCACTACGTTTGTCGCGTGAAATAAAAATGGCCTGTATTAATTTTAATATAGGCCTACATTGTGAGCATAAAACCTTTGATGGATGGCTAGAAGCTCATAGAGTCCCCAGCGAGAATCCAAACGCAGTCGGTCGGAAATAGCCTACAACAAACAGAAAATAAATAAAAAGGATTGGATGAGAGAGAGCTTAAAAGATGTTACAATTGTATCTAAATCATATATAACTATAAAAACAGGTAATTTTAGTATAATATAGGCCTATTGTTGCAGTGTTATAATGTATAATGGACTGTTTTTCTTAGCGGAAGCTTTAAGATAATATGCATCTAACAATGTAAACTCAAAATCAATATTTTAAGTTAATAGGGTAGTTATTTATTTGATAATAAGTGGGATAATTTACAGCCATATGGTCATTATTGCAAGATAACCCTGTTTAGGGTATGACAAAGTCCTTATCCCCCTAATGTGACACGTAGCCTACATTCACATTCATATTGAAATACAGTTGAGCTTTTAGTACGTGCATTGAAATAATACACCGAACTGCAGGGGCGTAAATTTCGTCTAACAGTTGGGGTGGACAATAAACATAAAAGTTCTCAAGAGCGATTTTTGAAGGGGACTCAAATAATACAGCTAAAGTTGTACTTGTAAGGATATGTATACACAGAGGAAAGCCTTACTACTATTAGTGCAGCAAGGAGACCGTGCCAAATTAGACAACTTCAAGCAGTTTTGGTCGCGCCGTGACAGCGCTCTTGTCCGTTGTATCCGTCACAGTGTTGCCAAGTCCGCGGTTTTCCTGTGGAATTGGGCTACTTTATCACTGTTGCTGCGGGTTAAGCGACCCCAATAATGTGTATTTTATGCCCCGGAACGCGATTTTTACCGGGAGACCCCTCGAAACGGTTAGTTTGGGCTAGTTTTGAGTAGCAATTGGGAGGGTTTTGTTGTAAAAAACCTGGCAACCCTTTTTTGTCAAGCAGGTAACCTTGCTAACAGGTTATTATTGCTAAAATAGCGACTCGTCGAAAAATACATTGGCATCATTTGTATTAAAGAGAAAATAATCACTTCATCCGATGTTTTTGTGAATAAAATAGCCTTGACAGCCTTGGAGTTCCACAACTATTGGCTTTGTTCTTTCTCACCGGACTGGTGTGTGTGTGTAGGTGATGTAAAAGAGGAACTTTTACTGCCACCAACTGGATAAAAAAAAACTGCTAAAAACCACTGCATAATCTACTCCATCACATAAGGGAGGGTGAAATAACAATGACCTATACAGTGACAGGCCTATATATCAGTCAGGCTAATTAATCGGCTGATATTTTGCATTCTTACTGCATTCTTTACTCAAGATTTGGCCAAATGACACAAGTGGTTATGAAATATTTGTGTGTGTGTGTGTGTGTGTGTGTGTGTGTGTGTGTGTGTGTGTGTGTGTGTGTGTGTGTATGTAGGCGATGTAAAAGAGGAAAGCAGGCATTCAGTGTTGCCAACTAGTTTTCAGGGGAAGTTGCTAAAGGAAGACTGATTTGTTGCTAAAAGTTGCTAAATGACGTTGCGATGTCATTGCGCGGTGACGTCATTGCGTAATCACGATGCAAAATTGTGTCACTGCATCAAATCTCAGCAAAAAAAAATAAAAAATTTAAATATGTTAATTTAGATGCGTTTATAAAATAATATAAATGCATAATATAATATTAAAATATAAATAACTAATTTTAAATACAACATTGAATTATTTAACACTTTCACATTTTTTAACAATTACAATTTAAGTTTATTTTTATTAGCTAGTAAACTAGTAAAACTACACATTCTGAACAATTATAGATTTAAGCAGTGTATTAGTAGTTCGTATGCTACACTTAGTAGACTCACGCTACAAGTCTGTAAAAATAGGGCAAAATCTATTAATATGAAGGAATTTTTCCGTAATTATTATTCACGTTTTTTTACCTACATTTTAAATTACGCATTGTATTTTGTGTTTTCGGGTTACAGGGTTACAATGGATAACGGATAATGTCCTGGAAAATTACTACCTTTCTCATTTTTCTAGATATTTTTCTTACCATGCACTAACTGATCAACAAACTCAAGTACAAGCTACTAACAAGGTGTATCATAAATGAACAATTATTCAATTATTATTATTATTATTCAATTGAACAATTGCTAATAGCAGCCAACTTAATTCATGTGAATTGTGTACTGCTAGGCACCTTTGGTTTCCTCTTTTTGTGTAATTTAGATGGAAAATGTGTGCCTTTTTTATCAGGTGCTTTTGGAAGAAAAAGTTGCTAGGGTAGTCTGAAAAGTTGCTAAATCTAGCAACAAAATTGCTAAGTTGGCAACACTGCAGGCATTTGGACCAAAGCACTGTGAGTCAAGGGAGGGGGACACTCAAAACTTTAAGAAACTTAAGTTTCTAAACTTAAAACGCATTTTTGCCCCGTTTGTGTTGTTTTACTGCTTACACAATTATTTAAAGTATAAAACATTGTTATTTCCAGTACACAGACTGGATTTTAATCATATTTTTAGGAGGGACAGCCCTCAGATACACTAGATTCTCTAGTATGAAACAGCAGTGAAACATCCAGCTGTACCTTTCAGCATTCTAAGGTTATACAACAGTTCTTTTGCTCTGATTTTAAGGCCGTATCTCCGAAAAGCATACTTGAATCTAAATAATTTATTGCGCTTTTACTGTGAGCCTGGCAGTTATGCTTTGTGGTTGACTGCTATGGAGAGGTCTCAGCAGTATTGATTTAGTAGGTCAAAGTATTGCCTCAGTATTGTTCATCGGTGCTGGATAATTATGTGTATCTGATGGTCATACCTCTTGAGATTTCTGCATTGCTTTTAGGGGGAGAAGTTAAAACATTTAAGAGAGTGATAAGTAGATCAGTCCTAGACCCAGATACAGTCTCAGGTAAAAAGACTATAAAGTAGAGGGGACAAAAACTAATTAAAAACCTCAGAAAAAGACCAGAGGCACCAATGCACCCAAGTATAGATAATAGCGAAGGTGGAGGAAATTAATAAGGGCGGGGTTAAGCAGATAATGAGGTGCTGTGTCTTTTATGGATAGTGAGAATGTGTACATGATTTCTCCTGGAGACTTCGGTACGGAGCGCAGGTGCTTGTAGGGGAATTGATTTCCCCCAATGCTTTGTGAGAGAATTCCATTACTTAACTCTATATATCTCTACCAAATGACATGTCTGCTGCCATGTCTATTCCAGGATCAGTCATCAGCCCTGACCGGGCCTTAAAACTGGTAAACATTGGTAAACTACAGAGCCACAGAGCGTCATCCAGCATGCAATTGTAAAGGCCCCTGTTTGCATTTCAGAAAGCTTTCGATTCACCGGCTAGACTAGTTATGGATTCATTCAGGGTGTGTCGAATTCTCTCAGCACGGCTTCCCCACACCTGACAGTGAAAACAGTGGAGCACTAACAAGCTGTCATAAAGAAGGCTAAGTGTGTTTCCCAGTTCACAATATTTCATTCTTACATCATCATGTCTCAGGTCCCAGACCTCATCTTGCTTAAGGGAGTAATTAAGTGAATTTAATGTTTTTTGAACATTTCTTTTCCATTGGGGTTGAATGCTGTGCACTAAATTACAGTAGCGCTCTAGTTCACGCTTTAAAAGTGAGGATGCTGGATGTGTGAGAATAGATAGATGAACAAATGGTCACCGCACATGACATTTACTAAAGACTTTATTGCACTATTTATTTGAACTTCAAAATACAAAGATATTTGGCATTTGTTCAGTGAACTGGATTTGAGCCAAAGCATTGAGAATCAATCCAATTTACTTAGCAAGTCTAAATGTGAGTCCACATATTAGTGACTATTAAACAAGTCCATTCGTTGAGTCACGCTCTCTCCATTCAAACACTCTTTATAAATCTTTTTCTCCCTTTGCCTAATACCTCATTATCTCTTTCTTTGTTCCATCTTCTTTTGTCAACACAAAGACACTTTTAGCCTTCATGGGCCAAAGAGGAAATTTGGGAACAAACGTCATTGTCTTGAAACAGAGCCATATTTTTTCCTGTGTTGTCTGGATTTGGTCCAGTTGCAGGATTTGATTTGATTATTGTTCTGGATAGATAGTGGTTTGGTTCAAATGCACTAGTTGTTCTTTGTTTTGTACCTGGTTTCTCCGCAATGTATTTTTCTAAGCATTTTTTTCGTATTTATATACATATTTACCATTTATACTGTAGCTGCATGAATATGTACATTAACTGTACTAATTATTTAGTTTCTCCCTCTCTTTTATCAACTTTGTAGCTTTGTAGTTCACATTAGAACATTAGATCTTTTGGTAGCTGTCCCCTTTTCCTGTCATACAGAGATATATCTTCTGAGGTGCAAACAAACTGGGTCACCTACATTAAGTGACTTCATATTGTCAGACCATACAAATGGTATTTAACAACCTCCTATCTTTAGTGCATCCCCTTTATTCTCAAAAACATCAAGCAGACAATCACAATGAAGAAATAGTGATGTAACTCCCAGCTAACGGTGGTTCTGTTCTTATTTTTTTACGAATGTTATTCAACATGATCAACTTCTCTTTTTACTTTTTAGACCATTTGACATCATCTGCTACTTTTGCTGTGATCCGGTTAAGTGATAACAAAGCAGGATCCTGTCGTTTAGTGGACCCAAATTGTATTTTGGACTTTAAGGGGTGATTTAACACTGTACTGTAATTGTGTACAAAATGTAAAAAATGTGTTTCTTTAAAATATGGACCTTTATTAATATTACCATGCACTTAATAGTCCCAACATTATGCCACTATTAAGACTACTACTTCACACTACTTCAATATTTTGGGGTCAGTAAGATTTTGTTTTTCTTGAAAGAAATGAACACATTTGTTCAGCAAGGACACATCAAATAAGTCGAAAATGACAGTATAGACTTCAATTATATATATATAAAAAAAATTAAATATGCTGTTCTTTTGAAACTTTTTATTCATCAATAAATCCTGAAAAAATTTATTACAGTTTCTACAAAATATTAAGTGGCATAATCGTTTTTAACTGTGATAATAAGAAATGTTTCTTGAGCAGCGAATCAGCATATTAGAATGATTTCTGAAGGATAACGTGACACTGAAGACTGGAGTAATGATGCTGAAAATTCAGCTATGCCATCACAGGAATAAATTACCTTTTAAAACATTTTAAAAAGAAAACAGTTATTTTAAATTAAAATAATATTTTATTCATATTTACATGGTTTTCAAAACCAGTAACAATACAGAACAACGTAATACACACTAAAAGAATCACAAAAACATACTGTGCACCTACAGTATAATAAACAAAAATAATAATATAAAAACATAATTAATAACTGAAAACAGGTTCCCACATTTTGTCAGATGTGGCTGTGTTTCCAGAAATATTTTATCTAATTCTTTCTAAATGTAAGGTAGAAGTGAGTCCTGTTAACCAAGCAGAACATTTTTACTGTATTTTTGATCAAGCCTTGGTGGGCATGAGAGACTTTTTTCAAAAACATAATAAGAAAATATTACTGACCCCAAAGTTTTGAACGGTAATGTATGCTGAGTAGGAAACTTTTAGTTTCTAAATGTCTCATGAATTGCAATAGATTCATATTCTGGGCAGCCAGTTATTCACCACACAAACCATGTTTATCCTTATTGCAGGTGAACCCCAATTTAATAGAGTCTGATAATCCTAGTTGTAATCCTTTTTATTTTATTTATTTAAATATGCATGGTTATATGGCTAGAATTTTATAATTTCCATTTTGTTTTACTTCCTTTACAGTCCACAAAATCAGAGCATCCCTGCAGCAACCAATTTTTGGGTCACGACCCACCAGTTGAGAACCGGACTTGGCAATTAATGCTGCAGACACTTTTGCTTTAAGATATAAAATGGCTAGGAAGATTAAATACCAATAGTGCTTCTCAAGCGCTTTGTAAAATACATTACAGTATTGATCGGACATGTCACTGTTCCCACATTCACTCTCCTCTTAGTTCAAGAGAATGAAAAGCCCCATTGTTGTTCTACTGCAGATGCTTCAGTGGTTGTCCTGATGTCCATTTATCCCTTCTGTGTGGCTTTTGCGTTTGTTCTGTGATGGTGAAGTATCCTGACAGGTGGAATGCTGTTAGCTGTCAGGATTGAATGAAGCAGCTGGCTCATCCAATTGAGAAGTGATTTTGACCATCAGCAGAAGGTGATCACTCTATTGAAGCAGATCAAATTGTGTGCTGTCAATATGTGTTTCAATTATCGGATGTTCGGCACACGCTTCCTCTTCGAGACACAATCATGCACGTCCAGTCATAAACATGCACCTCTAATCTTGCTTGTGCAGCCAGTACATTTAACATGGACATCCAGATCTGATCACAACAATTCACGCTTCATTTATTTATTTAGAAAATGAGAAAGGCTGAAGGCTGAATGGATCGACTGCTGTAAAATTAGCCCGTAGTGAGTAACGCTTCCCAGCACATTCTATTGACTGTTATTTTCCTCTTACCAGAGAGTCTTAAGTGGTCCATTTCACATCTGACTGGACCGTGTGATCAGGTTGCTCTTGCAGATTTAAGTAGCTCACTCAGTCTCTTACAAGTTCAACCAAATACATCGGCAATATACAAACTTGCTTAGTCTTGATTTAAAAAGGAATTTAAAGGTTATAATCAGGAATGTGATTCTTCCGGATTGATCCAGAATTCCGTTTTTTTTCCGGCCTAAAATTATAACTCGTGTGAATCGTATGGAAGCCCGTTTCCGCCACTGAATTAAAAAAAAAAAAAAAAAAGGTAATTGCGACTTTTTATCTCACAATTCTGACTTTTTTCATAGAATTGCGTGATGTAAACTCCCAATTGCGAGTTATAAAGTCACAATTGCGAGATAAAAACTCGCAATTCTGACTTTTTTTCTCGCAATTGCGAGTTTATATCTCGCAATTCTGACTTTTTTTTCTCGCAATCCTGACTTTTTTTCTCAGAATTGTAAGATATAAACTCGCAATTGCGAGTTATAAAGTCAGAATTGCGTGATACAAACTCGCAATTATGAGTTAAAGTCCAGTTTTGAGGGGGGGAAAAAGACTGATATGTTCTCAGAATTGCAAGTTTATATCTCACCATTCTGACTTTATAACTCGCAATTGCGAGTTTATATCTCACAATTCTGAGAAAAAAAAGTCAGAATTGCGAGAAAAAAAGTCAGAATTGCGAGAAAAAAAGTCAGAATTGTAAGTTAAAAAGTCAGAATTGAGAGACATAAAGTCGCAATTCTGAGAAATAAAGTCAAAACTGCGACTTTATGTCTCTCAGTTATGACTTTTTAACTCGCAATTGCGAGTATCACGCAATTCTGAGAAAAAAAAGTCAGAATTGCGAGTTTGTATCACGCAATTATGAGAAAAAAAAGTCAGAATTGCGAGTTTGTATCACGCAATTATGAGA